TGTATATATATCTCATAGCTTTACCAGTTAAACTATCTATATGAGACTTTTGATGATGAAATTTTATCGACAAAGAGCAAATCATTTTATTTTTTTCTCTAGACAGCAAGAATTTTATCTAAGTTGGAATCTAGCGATCAGATATTGTCCAGACAATCAGAAAAGAAAGATAGTTAATATATTCAAGATAATTATGTATTTACAAAATAGTGTCTTAATCCATCTTATTTCATTATATTCAAGATGTGATATGGTTTCGAAGAATGGATTAAACGGTTCCAATAAGATTTCATTTTTTTTTATGGATAAACTATAAGTATCTTTCACGGGAGGCAATGGTCCGGGATTAAAGCTTTAATCCATCACAAAGATGTTATTGAGGAGGATTGAACACATACTCTCGCCTTCACCTATTCAGCTCTCATGCACCAATTGAGCTACCATCATTTAGTATAAGATTTAATTTTGAGCAAAAGTATAATAGAATTATTGGAGGGCGAGGGGGTCCCAATATTGGTGTGCATTCAATAGAAATTGAAGCTATGAATTTTGAGTTAGGTGCTTTAATTAAAATTCTTGTTGGAACCATGGATGCTTAGCAAGAATCCTTGTAGATGATGAATTAATAATCAAATTCAAATTGAAGTGAATTTTTTCATATAAATTAATGCAATTTAGGAGGATTTGATGAAAAACATGAATTCAAATCCTGAATTTTTGAATTGAGAGAGATTAAGAATTCTCAGTATTTATTAGGTTCATGGACCCAATTCAATTCAATTCAATGTGATTTTTTTTCACAATTTTTTTTCATTAAGATAGTTTTATAAAACTCTTGGATTCCGAATTTGGAGTATTAATTTATGCATTCATTAAAAATGCAGTAGTTTTTCTTTTTCTTTTAAAAAATTACATTAGATGTAGAAGCGCATGCACATGTAAAATGGAGATAAAAGTAACCAAGTAAAATATTAAACATATAAATCTTAAAAATGACATGTTTGATCGGTAACTAGCGTCACTGAAACAGACAAGTGCTGGAAGTATACATGCTAATACATTAAGAGATTACTTAGGGACCGTGGCCAAAATGCCACGCTTTGGCAAAAAAATTATCAGAATGTCATGCGAACAGTAAAATTTCTCAAACTGCCACGCGGCATAATTCGCTACACAGTGTAGCGAATTATGTATGCAAGTAATTCGCTATACAGTGTAGCGAAATATGTCACGTCAGAACCAAAAAGTGTCATGTGTCAAAATTGTTGAAATTCGCTACCCTGTGTAACGAATTATTTACATGCATAATTATGCCGCGTAACAGTTTGAAAATTTTTACTGTTCGCGTGATATTCTAGTAATTTTTTTGTCAAAGCGTGATAAAACGGTGACTGTCCCGTGCTTTTAAGGTGGGGAACAAGAAATATGCAAATTCTATTGTGATCGTGCTTTTAGAACCTTTCATTAGAGTCACCTTGCGTTAAAATGAATTAATATATTGGCATTATTAATATTCAAAATTCTTCAGAGACGGCTAAAGCGTAGCAGCAATAGCGAATATGTGGAAGTGAAGCGACAAAGATCATGATGTCTAAAAGTTGAGCAGATCGACGCTGATCAATAATTAATTATTGGGGAATGTGTCTCTCATGTAGTAGGAGAGACAATATTCTTCCTATAGACACATAGAAATGTGTGTCTTCTTTTTTTTTTTCTTTTTTCATTTATTGTGGTGGGCTCACAGTGCCTTTGAGTCTGCAATATAAGAGGAGATATCTTCTATTACATGAGAAAATACAAATCTTTAATTATTTTAATGTTTGGAAAATATTTTTATAACGCCAGGAGGCCCTTATCATTATTAATTTCATTTTTTATAATATTTTTGACGAAATAATATAATTTTCATTGAAAAATTTATAAATTTAATTTTTTTAATTTAATTTTTTATAAGATTTTCAACGGAATATCATTACCGTTCCGTCAACATTTTCATCTTTAATTTTGACGAAAAATTTTTTGTCAAAAATTTTCGTCACAAAATTTGACTTTTGAGGTTTACTTTTAACCACAATGACTTCTATTTCAGCAGTATTTAATCTTGCCCGTGTATAAAATAGGTGACCAGCTATTTGTGTTGAAAAGCTAGATCTGTATTTCTTGAAATAGAGGTGCCCCTTAGAGGTTATGGTATGAACCAAAATTTTTGGAGGAGTCACCTTGTAAGTATCTCAAAAATGACTGAAAGAGGGGGGATCATCCAGTGGGGTAGTGACGGAAGGCTATTGCCCCTTTCAAATTTATATATTGTTTTTGTTGTGAGCTGTCATTCATGTTTTTTTTTGGTCATATGAATAGTGGTCGCCCCCTTTCAACTTTATATAAATTTTTAATTGTGAGCATTATCTTTATTCTCTTGGTCATAGATAAGGAAAATATTACTCTTTTTTTTTTTTTTTTGAAGTTACAAGGAATTGAACATAACATCCTACACTACACACACTCCTAACACATTCACCCCACACCACGAGGCTAACCCTAGTGGTGCGGAAATATTACTCTCTTTTTATATAAGATATTTTCTCTCATATTTTCTTATTTCGATTTTCGCATTTTACTTTTTCTTTTTCTTTTTTATAATGGTGAGATCCACCTATTTTTTCTGTACAACATAGAATAATTATCTTATGTGAAAGGAGACTAATAAAACTCTATAGATAATTATAATTTAAAAGGAATATTACACTTGTAATTCTGCCTCTTTTTACAAATTTTTTTAGTTCCGCCATTAAAGATGGTACAATGACTCTTTATTTGTCAAAATAAGAACTCAAATGCAATAGATACAAAAATGCTCTTTTAATGAATTAAGATAGGTATATATAGGTGGAAAATATTCCCCCTGAGAGAAGAGGAGAATCACACCATGACACCACCAATGAGAGAAGAGGAGAATCATAGTGATTTTGTCCATTACCTTATGTTGTAAATGAGATAGCACACCACCAATGTATACGATGATGAGTTATATTTGGGGTGAAAAATCCTCTACTAAAAAATTTATGATTCTTACTTTAGGGAAATAAAGAAGTGATCTCTTATTTGAATATCTAAGGACCAACCTATGACTTTGGACCGTAAGGCTGGTCCAAAACAGATATCTGTCATTTTGTTTTAAAAAAACGTTCTATCTAGTATTACAAAATTAGTTTTAATTTTTAAAATATAATGAAAAAATAATTATTTTTATTTAAGTTTCCGTGGATATATATATATATATATATATATATATATGGAAATGTTATATATACTTACAATCTATTTTCGTTTATAACTTCTTAATTACAACCATATCTTAACCGTTAATTTTCGTCAATCAATAGTTAAGATTTTTGCAAATCAAATTTATTAATTAATTATTAATTCACAATAAATGATACGATTAGCAGAAATCAACGATTAAGATATGATTATAAGAAGTTGTAAATGAAAATAAATTATAAATATAACTTTTCCCGTATACATATAGAGAGAAAAGATTTATTTGATAAAAGAATAAATTTTTCTTTTTGGCTTTTTGTTGCCACTGCGTAAGCCTAGATATAGACTTGTCTCTTGATAAAAAAAATTTCTGAATTTTTTTTAATTTTAAAATATAAAAAATGAAGCTTATTGTTTGAAAAAAGTGTTTTTAAGTCGTAATTTAAAAAAAGTATAAGAATAAAATACAATTATTTTAAGAAAGAGCCTTCAGTCTCTCTATCTTTCTTAAGACTTTCTTTTTTTGGTAAAATTTTTCTTAAGACTTAAGTTTACAGCACAAACACAATAGTATAAGGTATTTATAAAGGGAATAATATATATCTTTCAAGACGGAGATTTATTTCGTGTATTTATGAAAAAAGAAGATTGAGTACAAAAAATAAAGTTATCTATAAATTGAGTGGAATTATATATAATTTAGTTTCATCTTTTGGCTGTTTTTTTAACCAGGTATTTTTTTTTCTTTCCCCAGCATCTTCACTGTTTTCTTTTTTAGCTATGCACTAATTAATTTTTTAATAAATTTATCCACATTATTTTAAATCTATTGTCTTTTGAATAAATATAAAAAGAACCGATTTTGATTATCTTATACTTTCCTCATGTTATAGTATATTTGAAATTTTGAACTTTAATTTTATTATGTCATATTACTTGTTGGGCATATGAGAAATAAGACTTTCATAGCTCATTTGTGGTCACAATAGATATGATATGATATAATAATTGAGGGAAAGAGAAAGAAAAAGAAAACATAGACTCCATATATTTTTATTTTTATGTGTGTATAAGAAATAAAATTATTTCCTAAGAAATATTAAACCCATATATTATTATATCTTTTTATCTATTGTTTAATAAATCAACAACATATAATAAGTTTATCCTGAAACATGATAAGTTTTTTTTTTTAAAGAGAGCATGAGTTAATATTGAACTGTATTATAAAATAACAAATATTACATTCTCTTGTTTCAAATGTAGGCCTCTCCTCTTTTTTTGGGAACTTGCCACCACCATTTTCACTAACTAAGATATCACCATCACCACCGCTAAACCATTATGGCTATCATCCCCCACCAATACTTCAAATGTAACTATGTATTGACCCTTTTCCCCTCCCACAAAATTTTCTGGTACCGTTGTCGCAAAATTGACAAAAAGGCTTAAATATGCATGTTTAAACCATTGTCCAAGGCCATATGGCGAATATATTTGTACTTGGATGTTGCAACCAAAAATTGGAATCAATTATGTATTTATTAAAAAGGCTGTAGCTACCATGCACCTTTAAATAAAGAAAAGAAAGAAAGAAAGAAATGGCAAAGTTACTTGGTTATAGAGATGTAGCATAACAACTTAAACTTCTAAAGTAATTAATTTATGACATGAGTAGTCATTAACGAGAGCTATGCATATAGGAAAGCTAACCATATACTAACTATAGATTGTTACACTCAGGCTTCATCCGACTTTGAATTTTTTCCAAAGATAGTCTCCATATCTTCTAATGATCTTCCTTTAGTTTCAGGCAAGAAGTAATAGAACCACCAACCCAAAGCATTGATACCAGCAAATAAAAAGAAAGTCCCACCCATTGTTATCATTTTATAAATTGAAATGAAACTCGTAATGACTGCCACATTTGTAATTCTGTTCACAGCCACACAAACAGCAAGACCTTGTGCTCTCAACCTCAGGGGAAGTATCTCAGAACTATAAACCCATGTCACAGGTGCTACACCAATAGACAAAAAAGCCACAAGGAAATAGGCATTAATAATGGTAAAGCTTATTGCCCATACTAGTTTTTCCTTGGAGTGTTCCACTATGGTCAAGCAAACACCCAAACCTAACATAGTCACAACCATACCTCCTGAACTAACCAGTAACAGAATCCTCCTCCCAACTCTGTCCAATAAAAATGTTGATATGAATGTGAATATGGTTTTGCTTACTCCCAAACCAACTGTGGCTAGAAGAATCTTGCTCTTGTCATTCATTCCTGTTCTCTCAAAGATTCTTGGACTATATAACAGGACACCCGCTATTCCACCAATTTGTAGGAACAAATGAACTCCAATTGCTGAAATTAATATCCTGCGCACAGTTGGTGTAGGTTTACACAACAGTTCCTTCAATGCTCCTCCACCACTACTAGTTTTCTTATGAACATGAACAATGTCTTGAGTGCAGTTTTCATCAATCCCAACAACAGTTTTTATTTCCTTCAAGCGTTGTTCAGCTTCTTCCTTTGTATTAGAGACTAGTAAAAGCACTTTCCTAGCCTCACCTACACGTCCTTGCATGACCAACCACCTTGGTGACTCTACCAATTTCAACATGAGAATGAGCAGAACAATTGAAGGTATTGTAGGAAGAGCAAGCATCATCCTCCATCCAAGTTTCAGTGTCAATTTTGCAAAGAAATAGTTTGACAAATAACCAAGCAAGAGTCCAAAAGTGATGGAAAAATCTGGGAGAGAGGTGAGAAGGCCTCTATAGTAAGGAGATGAAATCTCTGCACTGTAAAGTGGTGCTATAATCAAAGCAAAACCCATACCAGTTCCAGCAATACACTCTGCAATCATTAAGATTGGATAGGATGGACCATACCCCATTAGAATGGAGCCTAATATGAAGATAATGGAAGCTACAATGATAGTCTTTCGGCGACCAAAATAATCAGATGTTCTTCCTGCAACCATGCATCCTGGTAGTGCACATGCATGTAAGATTCCTGCTAGGAGCTGCACTTGTATGTCACTGATTCGAAGATCCTCCTTTATGAATAACAAAGCTCCAGTCATCACTCCTGTAACTGAAGAATAATATTGCTTATTAGTTGATTTTGTTAGGTTAATGTAAAAAATCATAGGCAAACTATTCCATCTAGTTTCATTTTTATTGGTTGATAACTTTAGATATATCACCATTGTGAATCTAAATTGTAACAATCACTGGTTAAAAATCCGACCCGATCATCGACCCGACCAAGGTTACGGGTCACGGGTTCAATAGGGGAGTCACAGGGTCACTTTGTTGACCCGGTATTATACATTAAAAAAATATAAATATATATTCTATATGAAAAATTCAAAAAAATTAAACCACAAATCATTAAAGATTCAAAATATACTTGACATAATTCAACCAGTTATATCTACAAATCAATATTCACAAGCTAATCAAACCATAAAAGTATAAAACACATATTCCAATGGAGTTAATAAAAAGTTATATCATCAAACTCAGTCCCTTCTTGTTCTTCTCATGCACCTACAATAGTATGTGAAAAGATATTCTTTACCCAATAGATAATAGTGGAGGAAAGGCGGCGACACGACAAATTAACGATGGGGAAAGAAGAACCAGCATGGTGGAGAAGATCACTGGAACAGGAAAACTGAGTCTGAGTCAAGGAGAGAAGATCGGAAGAGAAGAAGAAGAACGATTCATATTTCAGATCTAGTTCTTAATTTAGGCATCAATGAGTTTTTTTTTTACACGTCAAATGACGTCATTTTGTGTATAATTAAAAAAAATAAAAATATAGCGACCCCTTTGACTCGGGAGTCAAGGGTTCAACCAGGGGATTTCAGGGGTTAGAGGGTTCAACGTGCAAGTAGAGTCTAATTACTAACCTGAACCCTTAGAGAGGGGGTCAGTGACCCGGAGGAGTCGACCACGGGGTGGGGAGGGATTTTAAAACACTGGTAACAACTGATTTAACAACTGATTTATGATCATTATTATTTTAATTTCACCTAGCACATGAAATGTTATTTTGCAACTAACGAGAATGTTTTCCAAAAAAATTTGCACTCTACCCACTGAAAAATACAGAAAAGTTTTTTCATAAAACATACTAACTATTTAAATCTTTTTCTAAAGAGGAGAGTTATATTAACAAAATTTATTTTTACAAACTCACAAATTACACTATGTCTTACCGGTAAGACTTCACTCAAGAGTGTCTTACCGACAAGACATAATATAGTTTGTAAACAAAAAGTTTATAAATATAATATTTCACTTTTCCAAATACTTTGCAGGGTAAAACATTTCTGCATTTAATACAGAAAAGTTATCTACAATACACTATGTACTCTGAGTAATACATAGTATAATTTTTGGAATGAACTCTATCTTTGTTTAGATTTCAAAAGTTACACTATATATTAGCCGTAGTACATAATGTAACTTTGGATTTTAAAAGTTACATCATATTCTACCGGTAGTCGAAAAGTTAAACCCTACTTTATAAGTATAAAATTTATATGGACTTGTAAACTAAATCCATGCTTAGAGATTAATGATTAGACAGAGACAACTATATATGAGACAAGCACAAGAATAGAGAGTCGCTCACTGACCATAACCAAATATAACAGAGGTAATAGAGGCAGCCATCACACAAGCACAAGAATACTTGTTGAGCCCTCTATGGCTGACCCCATTTTCACGAGTACCATTTTCAATGGGCGGTTGGCTATGCTCGTTTCTTTCTTTTTCCATAGACATTTTTTAATCTTGCTTCTGTGATCGGAAAAGAGTTCAGAAGTGATTAATGTTATATAGATAGAGAGACTCTCTAATTTGCAAAAGTTAACAGTTCATGATGTCAATTGGTTTTTTTATTTATTTGTTATAGTAAGCAAATGTTGCTTCATTCTCACAAAGAAATTAATGTCTCTATCTCATTTCTGAAAAGTTTCCTAATATATTATTATTATCATTATAAAAGGACTGCCTCTTTAACCCTTTTTATTTCTGAAACTCTCTAAAAATGACTCTTCAACCTGATTAGAGAGCTAATTAGTATCGAGTCGAGTATTCTTATTGAACTTATTACATCCTTTTATTGCCAAATTAATTACTAACTGATTTTTACCTTTCAATTAAATAAGTTTAACAAAATTTACTATCTCCCGTAATTACTAGTCTCTGCACTTTACTGCATTATAACTCTATCGATCTGACAATATTATAATAGAAAAGATTATAAGAATTACATTAAAAATTATCGTATGAACAAGAAATAAATTGAAAACTTTTTTTCATATAGGAACTAATTAAATTAAAAACAAATGTAACGTATAGAAATTAAAAATGTATTTTAACCTTTAAATAAAAACTAATTATATATAGTTAATTATCTTCCAAGGAAAACAGAAATATTTGTTTTATATGTTTACCTCTTGTGGGGTATAATGGGATTTACAGATTATAAAATTGAGGGAGGGCATGCATAAGAAGGTTTAAGCAATGATCACATAATATTATTGTTTCATGGAGTTAAGAGAATATAGTCAATGTCAGGCTAACGGGTTTCTGCTTCTCTTCTTGAAATGATCGTTCAGGTTATGTGTAAAGTTATATTATTCACAACCTAGTCAAGCAATTCGATTACAATCTTCACATTTTACAGTACAATGTCTTTAACAAGTAATATTCATTCGAGGTAAATTTAGAGATGTGGATGCATTTGCAGGTATGACCAGAAACAAGAATAAAAAGTCGATAGTAGTAACCTGGTGGCTAGAATATAGATAACTTGAACGAGATTATAGGTGTAAACGTTATCATCATTGTATTAAAAAAAAAAACACACACACACATATATATATATATATATAAGCTTAATATTTCTTCTCCAAATATCATATGATTTTATTTTCTGCACATACACAAAAATAAATGGATGACACTGTTTCTCTTTCTCTCTCTTCTCACATCTCTCTATATACATATATAATTAAATAAGATTTTGTATTTTAAAAGATTGTATATTTATGGATGGACTAAGTTGTTCCTTGAATATGGTCTCTCTTCGGTGGTTGTCCAAGGTACTTGATTGGTTACTCCTCCATATGTTGTGACGGGAAAAGAGGTGCTGATTCATTTATAAATACCGTAACTCAAGTCAATATTTATAAGTGGTAAATTATAGAAACCCTATATATATAGATGAAAAATATCAAGAATGTGTCACTATAAAAAAATACACTTTCTGTGATAACAAAAATTGTCACTGAAGAATATAAAAATCGTCACAAGAACATTTTTTTTTTGATGACACAATAAAAGGTATTTATTGTGATAAAAAATCATGCCACGAATATTTGTAAATAATAATGACGCAAATAATTTGTCACAGATATTTACAACATCAGTGATGATTTAATCGTCACATTATAATGATAACTATAATGACAAAATATTTGTCACTATTATTTTAAAAATAGTTACCAAATTTTTTGTCACTGTTATAAATTTCTTAAAATGATTTATAATTCTTATTATTCACATTTATTTGAAATTGTGACATCTATTTTAGTTGTAGACAAAAATGATAGCAATTGTTATTTAAAAAAATAAACCTTCAAATAATTCAAATCTAACATTTAAAAATAAATTATCCATTACATATATTTACTTACAACAACTAAAACAAAAAGCTCCCAAATTCAAATACCTATAAATCAATGACAACAAACACTTAAGAATTCTTAAACTAGAAAAAAAAAACTAAATGCCTAAAATGATATTAAAACAATCGTAACTTCAAGAATTTTGGTCCTGCAAATACAAATACAAAAAATATTAATCATAATAAAAAAATAATCAGTAATTCTTTTTAAATGTAATCTAACAATAACATGTCATAGTAGAGATAATAATAAAATTAAATTCTAATAACAATTTTTTTTTACCTTATTATTAGGAACATCTAAGCCACTAGACAATCCATTGAATGATAATCCTCCCAATAAAGCAGACATTTGACGTTTCATCTCTTTTTCAATGTCTTGCCTTATTTGCTCTTGTTGGTTTTCCATAGCTGTACGTTGAGCATCAATCATTTCATGTTGACATTGCAAATCTGATTGAAGTTGGACGTTGGCCTCTTCTTGTTTTTTTGTGATCTCAGTTAACTTTTACACTTCTAACTCTAAATCATTGGCTCGCTTTTCTGCAGCCTCAACTTGAATTTGAATAAGTTGCTTGTGTGTAAACTTTTTTGTTACCGCCGAAGTACCTACACCCAAGGAGTGGTTTGGTTTTCTTCCCAATACCATTGCAAAGTGTTCTACCAGTGGGATAGGTGCATTTGAAATTTCTTCTTGATATACCTCTCCAATAACCTGTAATTGCTCCTAAAAGAATAATAATATAAACAAAAAGTTTAGGATATTATATTTTTCACTATGGCATATATTTAGTTTTTCAATTCATTATGTTATGCCTTCAATATAAACAATATACAATTTTTAAATATTTCATTATATAAACAATATTTTTATAAGCCTTCGCATCAAGAATTTTTATCGCCATGAAATAAATAAAAAAGAAATATGCCAAAAAGACATAAATGACAAACCCAATATTTAATCAAGAATTTTTTAATTACTGTATATATGTTTGAACTAACAATTGTATACAAAAGTCAACATATATATCTTGTTTTTTTTTTTTACCGTATGCCAAAAATCAAGATATGACAAAACATATGACAAAAATCAACAAATCAAGACATCTTTAAACAAAATAGATGAAATCAACATGTCTAATATATTTAATCAAGCATCACGACAATAAATCAAATATAGATATCTCCAATATTTTGAACGGTGTTAGCAACTACAATATATATATATATACACATATATATATATATATATATATATACACACACATATATATATATATATATATATATATATATATATATATATATATATATATGGTGCTGGAGCGAGTTGTTAGTGCAAGTGAGGATCATGGGGACAAGCACTACAAACATGTAAGCCATTTGGAAGAGATTTTTTTATTTTTAGAAGATTTTTTAAAAAATAAAAAATATTTTTCATTTTATGTATATATTTGGATGCAACTTTTGAAAAAAATAAAAGTCGGGAGATAAAAAGAATAACATTTTTTAGCCGGATTTCTGACTTTTGAAATGAGTTAAAATACTACTTTTTACTTAATATTTTTTAGATAATGATCCAAACACAAAATAACTCTAACTTCAAAAAAAAAAAAAAAAAAAACAATGTATAAAAAATCACTTTCTAGAACTCATCCATGTAAAGTGCCAAACGACCAGCTGTCCGAAATACTGCTATTAATTTTCTTATACCACATATGAAAATTCACATTACTTATAAGCGTGTAGTAAACTAGGCAATCGCAAATCTAAGGTGATTGCTATTATACATCGAAAGCTAATATTTTAATACAACCTATCAATTAATAATCCCTTACAAGAGGATATATGACAGGTCCATATCCACGGACGTGATGATGATCACGAATTTTGGAGTTGGAGATAACATTGATGAAGCTACAAAGCATGCATGTTTGGCGGAGCTGATCGATGAATCATTTCTTGGTGGTGTTTTTGGAAAAAATCTGTTGTATAGTGAGTGGTTTGAGTGGTGGTTTTGCAGGCCCAGAGCTTGAAGCACTTTCCCCGCTTTGTGATGGAGGGTTTTTAGGACTAAGAGCACTTTGGATAGTAACTTTTTTGGGTGTCTCCATGGATGCTACACTTTAACTAATAACTAGCTAGCTCTTGTAAGGCTTTGAGAAACCCATCCTTTGGTAAGCCACTATTTATAGAGAAATAATCCATGAGTTAATATTATTATTAGCATATATAGTCCAAAGGCATGTTGGTGTTTCGCCCACCATGTATTCTCAATTTCTCATGCATATACATAAAGGGTTTCAGGCCCCGGATCACAATGGGGTTCTCTTTTTTGTATTTCCTTTATTCTGTTCATCTTTAATATATAATACTATAATTTATTAATATACCCAATATGCCAAATGAATAATACAGTGTTTAGTGGAGAACTAATAAGCAATGACATTGACACCATGGCTCATAACCAATGTTGCTAAAACAGATAAGTTCTATATCTGCATCGTCAATGTTTTTTTTTTATATAGAGAGAGAGATAGAATATCAGAATTTTGTTACGAAAGATAAATTTGCAAATTGCTTCTTTGAAACATTAGAGTATTTTTTCACAAATAATGATAAATTTCTTAATGACAAAATTGTTTTTCCGTATTATATATAATAGGATTTTCTCAATTTTGAAAAAGAGAGAGATGATAATCCTAAAATATGCTGGTAATTAAAGTAACTTATAAATGGTCAAGAACATTATTAAATATACAAATTTTATTGTAATATTCCTTTTAGAACAAATATTGTGGATTTAAAGTTTTCCTTGGCTTTAGATGCCGTTTGAATGGAATTTTTTATGGCTTTTTTATAGAATAATATTTTTAAAAGTTAAATTTATTTTATATTTGGATGAAATACATAAAAAAATCCTTCTTCTTTTTTTGGAGTGGATAAAAAATCCTCTTAAATAAAAAGTTTACCTGCATTTTAAAATTAATAAGCATTTTTATATATAAAATTACCAAAAAGATATGTGATGGTAGTAATTGGAATGGAGTTTAGATAAAATTGAGTTTTTTAAAAATTATTTGATTTTATC